TTGGTGGCATCGATGTCTTCCCTAAGTAAAGTCACTAGACAAGATTTGTGTGGGCCATTGTCTCAAGACTTCGTTAGTGTGATTTCTCCTATTATTTTGGAATATTGAGAGGACATGTGATAAGGACTACCCATGATTAAGCTCATACAAATGAGACAATTTATTATTAAATTGTCTTCCACTTATTAAATTCATTGTTGGGTTGGGTAGCAAAGCTTCCTTAGGGCATTTAGAAGGATGCAGAAAGATACTTGCCTTGGATGATTGTTTGACCATATGCCAGTGCAGATGGTCAGTTGCAGTTGTACTTTTCACCTGAGTAGGAACAACAGCTCAAGTCTCAGTCTGCACTTTGGCAAACCATGGGAAATTAAAATGCAAATGAAAATTTCAAACATGATGAAAAAAGAGGGAAAATGGAATTAAGTTCCTAGAATGAAAATCTAGCATTTTTCGTGCTAACCTTAAGAGGCCAGATTAACCAAATTTTCAGCTAACACTGATGATAATGACCCTGGTGGCCAGTTGTTTTTTGTTTTTTTTTATATATATATATATAGAGAGAGAGAGCTTTGCTATGGAAAAAGCAGAGAGAGAAGGAGCTGGTGATGAAGATGTTGTGGAAATTAGCTTTTCACATTTTTGTTCTAGGGAAGTCCCACTTTTTTAATGCTAGCAAATCATCTTCTGAATTTGATTACCTTTGTTTACGTTCCCATGCCAAATTCGATCACCTTAAGCACAGGTGGAATCTGATTATAACCATCAGTATATGAAAACTCATGATTTTAACTGTGGGAAGGCTGCACTCAGCACAGGATGATCAGTAGACCTAGGTATCCTCGTCAGCTGATTTTAATGAATTCTCAAGAGTTAAATATTTCCAGCTCTAGAAGACCATGTTCTTTGAAGCAGGAACTGCAGTCTTTCATTTTTTCAGACCACCAAAGGAATCCAAGAGGAAGTAAAATTACATCAAGTGGTCTTATCATTGGCAATACATAAAGGAAGAATGGAGGGCGTGTCTCATTCCACAATGGCCCAGAAGTCACATTACAATGTCTACCTTGAAACCCTGAAGAGCCTGTCTAGTCTTTAGGAAGTTGAGATCCTCTAAAATCAACTGATAAGAAAAATAAATGCTGACTAGAGAGATGATATTTTGTCCTATTCAATTCGATTTCAGATAAGTTCATTAGAAAGACCACTGGTCACACGACCTGAGTACAAGCATCTACTCTGACACTCAATGGTATGTGTTACTGGGAAGTTACATCATGGTTCTAAGCCTCAGTTTCCTCGTATGTCAAGTGGGGACAATAAGACCTGTCTCAGTGGATGGTTGAGTACTGCACAAACTATACAGCAATAGGGATAATATGGTGAAATTTTTATCATTATGATTTTGTCATTATTATTATTATTTAATAGCTAAGAAGCACCAAGGTAGGCCCTTGGAAAACTGAAATGAATGAGTCTTGCCTTCCAGGGGAGTTTCACATTTGATATAAGTTTGATAAATACCAAACTTCAAAGTATCAATGGAGATCTCTGAGAGGTTTTGTTAATCAATTTTGTTGTATGCGGCCTGGAAAGGAAACCAAAGGTGTTTTCACAAGCAGAGATTAAGGGATTCTGTTCCACTCAGTCATTATTCTATCACTCAAGACGTACCCTATAACTATTATTTGTACTTAATATGTTCTTCAGCTTGCCATCTGGCCTGGAGTTGCCTGTCGAAGTTAATCACATGGAGTGGTTCCTATATCAGGTGGTATGAGCCTATCCATCCCACAACACCCTTGCTGAGTGACTAATAGCTTTCTCTGTCAATTTCAGAAAGTTGAAAGACTATTAATAACCCATCAAAAGACCACAGTGATGCATCTCAAAAATAGGTCTTGTACCTAGAGAAAAGGTTGCCT